TACATTTATAGCTGTTTTTATAAATTCTGAGATACCTAAAAATTTTTTTGTTTCTTGGAAATTTTTCAGTTTCATTTAGTAAATTATCTAGCTCTTTAGAAACTACATTGCTATTTTTAAACCTTCAGTCTGGAGACTAGAGATTGGACCCATCCAAAAAAATCTAACCTGGGTTACCTGTCGGTTAATTGCTAACCTACTCAGGTAAGTACCTGGGTAAAGTATAATTTACAAATAATACAATTTGATTGGTTGAGGTGTCATTACATAACCAAGCACATAATAAATAGTGCCTGTCCAGATGAAATATAGAAAATATTTTTATTTGATTGGTTATCTTTTTTTACCAGATATTAAAATCTTTACCCAGTTACACGACTTACTTATGGGTAACCCAGGTGACCCGGATATGGGTTCAATCCTTACCGGAGATAGTGATATAGTTTTCAGAAAATTAGATAATTTACCAGACGAATCTGAAAAAATTTTAGAAAATGAAAAAATTTTTAGATGTTTCAGAATTTATAAAAACAGCACCCCAATACATATGAAAATGTAATAGTTATAATATATATATAGATATAATAAGATATAATAAGATTAAATAATCAATGAAAATATTATTTAGTATTTTAACTATTAAATAATGATTATTAGCTAATCTAATATCGATATAGTATACATAACACATGGAAGTTGATTTTTAAAAATTATAACAGAGTTATAAAAAGACTATAGCTAAGGCATAACTCTGGTTGTTTCTGTATTGCAATGTCTCAATTCTTATAAGAACATTAATATAAATAAAAATGTCAAAAATGTTTTAATAATTAAAGTCACTTTACCTGTATACATATATTTCAGGATCTCTTAATTAAAATCTATAATTAGTATAATTAATATGATTCATATACTTTTTTAGTTTAGTTCATTTGTACATAGTATAAAGAAACTATAGTTGAGGTATAACTCTGGTTGTTTCTATATTTTTGATTCGCAATATCTTGATTCTTTATATATTGATAATTAATTTGTAAGAACATTAATGTAAATAAAAATATCACAAGAACATTTTAATAATTAAAGTCACCTTATCTATATATATATTTCAGAGGCCTGTCTTTATATTTAATTGAAATTTTATAATTAGTATAATTAATATAATTCATATACTTTTTTAGTTTAGTTCATTTGTACATTAGATAATAACAAACCTCAAGTTTTGAAATTATTTTAGTAAATAAAAGAAAATTAAATTAGAAAAAAAAATTATTATATATTTGATTCTTTTAAAAAATGCCACTATTTTGGAAATATAGTAAAAAGAAACTTGCAAAACATCATATTGGACCTATGTAGTTCGAATGAAAAAGGTTATTTGTTGTTGTGATAAAGCTATCAAACTTGGTCATTGCTATGATGAAACTTTTTTAAATATTCATATTAATAGTAAAGGGTTTTTAGCTAAGCAAGAAGTTTGGTCAATTCTAAATTGTTTTAAATCAATCTCTAAATCAAAAAAATTCAAAAATGATGATAGTGTTAGTAGTGCTGAAGAATGGAAAGTAATGATGATGAAAAAATAGAGGATGATAATTTGTTTAAAATTAACAAAATAAGTAATATAGAAAATGAAACTGAAAAATTTCCAAGAAACAAAAAAATTTTTAGGTATCTCAGAATTTATAAAAACAGCTATAAATGTA